CACAGCTCTCCGGAATGGACCTTATGCAAAGCAGCACTGGGAAAAGATTAACATCTCCTTTCTTGGGCAGAGAGCAGAGATTTTGTCAGTAACCTTAACAATTTCGTGAAGTTCATGACTGAAGCTGACTCCTCCCTCCAGCCTGTCCTCCCTGCTCAGGGGCAGGTGATGGCTCTCATGTCTCAATCCTTACTCAAGCAAATAAATAAACATAGTGGTGTAATGGGAAGGGGAAAGGAGACACTGGGGAAGTTCATGCTTCTCCCATAGTGATTACAGCCACTGTCCTAATTAAATTACAATTGTACAGCAGCAATACCAATGCACTCAAGTGCTATGAAAAGGCAGCTTGAGGAGATCAATGCTATCATTGGAAATGCCTTGATACAGTTGCATTTTTGTATAAGCACTCCAAAATACTTCAAATTAGCAAGTATCAAAGGAGCAAAAATCTAGTTGAGCCACATGCTCAAAAACTATTTCTTCACTGCTAATATGGGGGAATAGAGAATAGAACAGCCTATGTGAAGACAGTATTAGGTAAAACTAGAAGATAAAGCTAAGGCAAAAATCCCAGTACAGTTCATCAAAGGATCAGTCATTTATAACAAAGAGTTTTATCTGTAGTTATCCCAGCTAGACAGCAGAAAATACATGAGAGGCAGGTTCTGGTTCAATATTTGGAAGCGGAATCATCATACTCCACACGGGAGTAAAGCCTATCTCCACCCACCCAGCAAGGCTCCAAGAAGAAGCAATAAAGCTGGGACTTGGCCCCCCAACATATTACTTCAAGGCAGAAGTCAACCATGGATTCAATTGCCTGACATTAAGAAACTATATGCCCCCAGTCCTTTTCAACATGCAACTCCAAAATTTGCATCCTGGGGTTGTCACTGCAATATTCCTCTGAAGAACTTGCTACTGACCATTGTTTAAGGAGGACATGGAAAAAGCTGGGCCACTACTGTGAACCACAGGGTCCTTTTGGCATCTATACCATGATGTTTTGGTACACTCACTGCACACAAAGCACCACAGAAGGCTCAAGAGAGACAGTTAATTGTACAGCTAGGGGAAAAAAAAAAATCCCACATGAGGCTTTGAAGTACTGTGGCCAGTGAGTAAGCAGCACAGAAGCAAGGAAGGCAACAGCAAAGAATTTTCCAGGCTTAGCTGCACATCAGAGATATTTCACTGCATTTTTTGTGTTCTCTTTTCTAAAACAGGCGGGGCTGAGGAGCCTCATCTCTGTAACATACGGTGGTTGTACAACTCTGCCTTTATGCGTGGGAATTAACACCCTGAACACCCTAACTGCAGTCATGTGCTGATTTCAGGGCAAGATTCCTGGAGGCCATGAAACTGAGATGGGAAGACTAAGGGGAAACATGGTGTACAGGGAGCTGCCCTCTCATGTGTTATGGGAAAGTTCCTCTTCTTCACCTCAGGGCTGGCATGGCACAAGTATTTTTACTTGGTTGCATTACTGAGCTGTCAAAGTCACAATGTTACTATGCATTCAAACACATATCCAAGGATAATCATAATTTCTGACATTCCTACCATGGATGTGCATTGCCTTCTGAACATTTCTACTAAAGCTACAGTTATTACGAGCAGAGTCCTTCACAAAAGAGGATATCAAATATTTACATAGCGCAAATCACAGGTCAGAAATGTCACACAGATGAGATCAACTGATTCACTGTCCTGGGATATCTAATTGTCCATCAATTAAGTGGTGGAAAAAACATGGGAGAGCAATTCACATAAAAGTCATAGCTTCTTTTAATCCTCAGTCACTAATGGAAACAGAATTCCTGTGGAGCTGCAACATCCTGAAATATACATTTTAAAAATACCGCTTACAAATATAAGAAATTACCCTTCTTGATCCCATTGCACACCTGAATCCTGCTCCCACCTGTACCTGCAAAATTTATTTATTTTTAAACAGTGTTTCTGGTACAGATTTACACTGGTGGAAGTAAAATCCATATATGGGTCTTAGGCTTTCTCTTCTCCAGTAACTTAAAACTTACTGTCTCTCCTTATCTGTTATCTCCTTACTATTGGCATACACAGAATCCCTGCATTTCCACCACAGCATTTCTCCACACTTCAGATTTCTGTCAGGCTATCCATGAAAAAGGACATGCCAAATGCCCAGATAAATGTGAGCGCCATGCTGAGGTCTAATGCTACACCTTACAGTTTGTTGCTCCTAAAGATTCATGTAGTGCCACAGCAACCCAGCACACACAGTATGGCAGGGAAGTGTGCCACATCCCCTTGCTCTAAAGCACCTCTAAGTAGGTAAAAACAATTTTCCAGAGAGAATCTAGGCCGGAATAGGACAACTATAATAAGGGCTGCTGGTGAGAAAATGGGCAGATCTACTTGAGTAAAACTAAATAGAATCCTCAATGAGAAAAGACAGCCAAATAAAATACCCATTTTTGAAGACTGTCTTAATAAGCTAGTCCAGAAACAAGAGATCATGGATGTTAGCCACTACAAAATATCACAAAGATTCAGATTATTCATCTCCCAACACATAAATGCAGAGGGAGTTCCTAGAAAGGGCCATACTTGCACTGATCTTGACTACTGTACAGAAACTGAATATGGAAAAAACATCAAATTACAATCTTCCTCTCCCCTTATTCTTTCACCTACTCCAGCTACTTACTTCAATGTGAACAGCATTAAGATCAATGTGACTAGAAAAGGAAATTCTAGCTGACAAAGGAGAGTATATAAAAAACAGCTGGTAGGATTTCACTTAAGAATATTGCATCCTGCACATTTGCAGGCAGTTCATTCTACATCATACACACACATACACACCCCTAAGTATGCAAGACAGGCAAATTTTACAAGATTCAAATTATCTAGCCTGTAAGGAAGGAATAAAGAAACTACTGAGATGGACAGAAGAAAGGACAGATACACCCCAACAGTCAAAAGGAAATAAAAACAGAGTGAAGAGAAGATAATCTGGAAGGCATATTGCAGAAGAATAAGCCAGTAAGAAGCTGTGTTTAAAACATAAAGATGCATTGGGAGACCACTGAAAAAAGCTGAGTTACATAAAAAGAAACAAAATCTGCAGCAGGTCAGCCTGTACAAAAATTGGTTTCTTAAATTATTTTTTTTTAAACAAGCTATTTAGCAGCTTTTATAAGGTCTCTTCAGTCAGCAGTCTAATGGTATGAAAATGCAAATCAGAAGAAAATGAACTTTTTGCTGATCATCAGACACCAAAATACTACTTAGAAAAAGAAAACTAACCACCTGGGGGATAGCTTAAGGCACAGTAAAATTTTTTACTTCCTATAGAACATGGTCCTCAGCATGGACCATCAGGATTGGCAGAATTTTAAGGAGAGCTTTTAAATATATTTGTACAGAAACAGCTGGTCATGGCACTGCATATGTGATCCAAAAGAAGAATAGATATGCTTTCGTATGTGTTTGAAGAGAAGCCGAAGCTCCTAAGCAAGACATACTTTTAACAAGTGGTAGATGACAGAAAAAGAGCAAAGCCTGAATTCAACAATATGGTCTATATTCCATGGACAATGACAGGGCCAAGCTCTTTATTAAATGCTTTCTCCTCCATTAATGCTGCACACTCTAATGATTTGACCATTGCTATTAGCAAATCTGCCATGTCCCTGCCTGGAGCTAATAAGTAATGAACTAAGCGGGTGAATATTCTGTTGCGTAAGGACAGCTATTAGCAATCCTTTCCCAACTGCTCTGAAAACAAGAGATGCCTTCCAGGTATGACCTGTCCATGTGACAGGGTACACCCCACACAGACCTTATTCCTTCACTCTGGAAATTCCAGGGACACTCCCAGCACTCAGAAGAGGAATAAGGAGTGGATCACCTCCTGTATAGGGGTGTTGAACTGGGCTGGGCAGCAAATGCAGACAGCAAAGCACAGCATAAAACAAGCTCTGCGGAAAAGGTTTGAAGGGAAACAGTGAGGACACAAGTCTGCCTGTTCCCAGACCTGCTGTGACTCTCTAAAACAACCTGTGGCGCTACCACTGCCCTTACTGCCTTGGTTGTGCCAACAGGACAATGGGATAAATGCTGAGGCCCACAGGTGTGTCAAGCCCTGTGACAAATTTCAGTTTAGCTGCTTTCCTTCTGCCATAGCTTTTCCTGTTCGTTAAGTTCCCCAATTGTTTTAATTGTTCCTTTCAACCTCTGCATCACTTTTTGTTCTTCCTTAAATTATTATTTTGTTTTAGCTCATAATCCTGAAGCATTGGTTATGATGTTGTTCCTGGCAGAACACAATTGCTGAAGTTTCACTCTGGTTATCTTTGGCTTGTTTTCACAACTAAGCATTGCTGGTTCACATCTGAATGGACACAGCAGTGAGAGCCACTCCACCCTTACCATAAGAATGCCTCTGACCTGCAAATATTGTCTCACTACAGAAGTGCGAAGCTTGGGAACTGAGCCAGTTGTAACAGAGTAAACTTCAGACATATTTAAAAAAGAGAGTAAAGTGCTACTCTTAAACCCATTTTAACTCAATCTGAAGGCTTCTTCATGGTCTTTATTACTATACTATCTATTTAAATAATAATACCTTTAGCACTTTCTTGCAATGAAGGGAAATGTTATTACACTCACAAGAGGAGGGACCAAAACATAAGCAGATTAGGTACCCATTCAGGGCACAGAGGCTGAGGTGAAACCTACTTTGACACCTTAGAAAACGATATAGTCTCTCAAGAACTCTATTTTGCTGTAAACCCCACTGCTAGGACTTGACATTTATATAGTGGTATCACTCAGAAGCCAACAAACACCAGCCCATTGCCCAAAAGTGTTCCAGAAATAGTGAGCAGAGGACAGTCTTGATGAGCTCAAAGCCAAAATAGTAAAGATAGTGAAGCACCAGGGAAAGGGCCTGTTTGAATCCTAGTTTACTGTTAGGAACAGAGGTGGAGGAAGAAGTAGCAAGTTACCTAAATCCCATTTCAACCGTCCACCCACAAGGCCACGTTCTAGGGTTGTGCTGGTGCTCTAGAAACAGAACGATGAACTACAAGAGAAGTAAAATTACATGGACAACTTGCAAAAGCTCTCAGAATGCATAATTTCGTTTTGCATTTTAGCATTGATTTTAAACGTCCTCCTCATAGGAACTTCTGATTTCTAACGCTCCTCCTTGTCAACGCATTGACTGAAATCTCTCAGCTCACAAGTGGCAGCAGAGATAGCCTAAATCAGAAGAGAGCTTCAAAAACCCATTCCAGAAACATATCCCTCCTTTGCCACAAGAATCAGGACAGAGGCACTCCAACCCTTCCCACGGTTATGCAATGGCACGGATCCATTTGGGAAGGCAGGTTTCCTCACCCATCCCAACTCACAGCTACACAATCTTAAATACCAGCACAGCTCACTCCTGATACAAGCAAAGCAAAACAGGGGGACGTCAATAGCCCCGAGTTAATCAAGCAGGGTGTGTTTAACACCAGAGCTGAGCCCCATCTGAGAAGACTGGGGGAAGGAAAAAAAAAACAAGTCTGCTTACAAGAACCATGATAAAATGCTTCTTCTGTTCCTACAGCCAACAAGGCAACTGAGACAATATTCCCAGCATTTGAGGGAATGTTCCTTCCAGCAAGCACCCCAAGCCCCTTCCATCACATGCCCATCCCCACACAGAGCAACTGCTGAAGTTTTCATTAGGAGAAAATTAACCTGTTTTTTTTAAGCTGGCAACAAAGATGTAAGACTTTTCCTGGCATTTCTCGTGTTTATACAGGACCTGCCAAACCGGTTGTGTGATTTTTATACTGCTTTCTTTTCCACAAAGTCCTTCGAAAGGCAGAATAACAGAAAGCAACTAAGCAAAAAGTTTGGTTATATAGGTCCAAAGATCAACCCCTGGTAACACAGTTGAAAAATCAAAAATTAACCAGCATCTTCCTGAATTTATTTTGACTATCCAAAGACCATGGTTTTTTACATTTATTATTAAGACTGCATTGAAGTAGAACAGCTGTTTTGAATGGAAGGCAGTCCCATTTAAAACTGTTTAACAGCTAAAGAGATAAGTTACCTGGCAGATAAGATGGGAAACTGAGGCACAGAGTAGTCAAATGAACTGCTCAAGGTAAGCTGAGGCAGAGATCAGATCTGAGCAACCAGCTGATTTCCTGCATATTCGATCCTGTCATTTCTAAATTACCCACGTCTAATTCCCAACCAGTGGTGATTTATGGATGCCTGAACTCCAACAGCAAACAGTTCTGAATCCCAGAAACTGATGCCACTTTATCCTCCTATAAGGCACTTCTGAAGACCAGAAGTAGTAACAAATGTTAGTAAACATTTCCCTCAATACATGCAATATGTCTAAAATGTTACACCAAAAATAGCCTTTTCAATTGCTACATAGGGGTTTTTTTAATGTTAAGAATTGTTGTTTTGGTTAGGTTTTTTTCAAAATAACAATTTTGTGCACAGCAGCACACTGTGCTGCTACACTTTCCACTTGGTTTTTGATTCAGAAGAAATTTCTGTTTTGATACTAATTTTGCTGTACACTTGCACAATCCCAAAACAAAATTAAAATGCAACTTTAGCTTTCTGTCTGGAGTGCTTGTGCCTTGCTCTAATGTCAAAATTTACCCCCAGAACAACAACAAGCTATAGACAAAATACAAAAATATAAAAACAACAAGAAAAAAATCAGTGGAGTGTATCAAACCAGTCACCCTACCCCAGAGCCCAGGGTGCCCCACTGTTTGCTCAGGTGTCCCTATCTCTGCCGATGGCACAGGAAGCATGGCCTTCCCCCAACACCAGTGATGACTCTCTCACCTGCCAGGCCACCCGAGCACACACGGAGCTGCCACTCCACAGCCCTGGTTTAACTGACACGGCAAATACTCATTTTCACTGGACTGTATAATAAAGGATGAGATAAAACCTTGAGCAAATAAATGGGCAAAGTTCGAGCCTACAGCTGCTCCTCACGGGTAACTTTGAGCTGACACACCTGCTGCTTTGGCAGCCGGTTTAGCTCCCTAAGGCTTGGGCTTTGCAGAGCTGGGTGATGTGCTTACACAGGATCTGCCTGTCAGCCAGAAAGATCCCAAAGTGATTTACAAACAATTTATGAGGGATTTACAATCTCACTGCACAGCAAGTGAATGGGCACCACTCCTTACACACCTGCAAAAAAAAAAAAAAAAACAAAAAAACCAAACATTCACCAGATTTCAGTTAACCAGAAAGCTGTTGAGTGTCCTCAAGATCACCTTGAATGAGAATAGCCAGCCCTCCTAATCCAAACCTCCTAAGCCCCACAGAAACACCACCCCCAAAGTCTGTAAACTGCCTGTCCGGCTCCCTCAGTGGCCACCATGGGAGAATTTGATAGTAATATCTACATTCATAAGCACGCAGCAGTGCAAGAAAGAATCCCTCAAAAGAGACTGGATGCTTGTAACTCAGGAGCATCAGACTTCATAAGGCATAGTGAAGCCATCCCACAGACTCCTCCTCTACAGCCTGCATCCTTGAGCTGCTTTCAGGCTCAGACAGATGGACAGACACTGATGGTAAGTGTGATTCTTCACACCAGGAGAATCCAATCAGAATTATACACTGGGCGTGTGACGGGATGATATCCACGCAACAAACTGCAGTTGTCATGCAGTCAACTACAGACCACTCTACTTGCCTCCTGCCTTCAATCCACTGCTAAAATTATGTAACTTTGTGAGCCGCAACAAAAAATAACATGCACTTTTAAATTTATTTAGTTCCTCCTCTTCCTATCCCCATCCAGACTGGAATCACAGTACAATGATCCAAGGCCCCAGAATGGAAATATTAAAAGCTACTAATACATTTAAAAGAAGAGAAAGCCTGAATTGGATGAAAACCTAAAACTTTTTTATTGGCTTAAATGATGTAGATGAAAGAGTGGACAGGCTCTCAAGCAAAGGTCTGCTACCTTTCAACACATGCATGCATGTATGCACATACACTTATGCTATAGATGCATATTACTACATATCTCCATTTCAACTTAATCTTAACACCAAAAATTATAGTATTAATCAGAAACCTCTGTTGAAACTCACTTCATCCTGCAAGTATTTGGAAAGAAATGTGACATCTTAATATTTGATGTTGCATGAACTAAGCTCAAAAAAACCCTGCGAGCAAGCATGTACATTCCTATTGACAAGAAACAGACGTTTTGCTGAACACTGAGAATTGCAAACATGGAAAACAGAGATACTGGTATCTTCAGGGAGCAGAACTACCTGCTCCAATTACTTGCAATACGTGGCTGGTGACATAGTCCGTGATATCCTGCATCATGGTAATACACCAGGCCATAGCTAAGTCTGTAATTACAGAAGAGATGACAAAAAAAACCAAAACAAACATCTGTACTGTTGGGAGATGCATATACCGCCCTTGGCACATTAGAAATTTTTATCAGATGTACACAGAGTTCCTAGTTTGGAGACAGAATGAGGAATCCTGTTACTAAGAGACAGGTGAAAATTTAGGGGCACAAATTCTCTATTGCATGGGAGAAAAAAAATGTGGAACAGTGCTATCTCACAGATACAGCAGAGAGCATGAAAAAGATCATCATCTCACTGATGATGATCAGATCAATCATCCCATTGAGGATGGGAAGGAAACAAAAGACACCCATGAGAGCAAGTGAGAGGAAACATCACAAGGCCCCTTGTCTGTAGAAGCAGCAAAGACACTTACCTTCAAGAGCCGTGAATGTCAGAAGCATAAACATCTCTTTTTTGTTGAAGGTGGTGGGCTTCTTCCACCCCCACCACGGAAATACAAATTCTAAGGGCACTAGCTATGCAGAAAAAACTGCAAATCAAAATATTTCAGCAAGCCCTAGAGAACAGTCCTAGAGATGAGAGGGAGAGATGGAGTTTTCACTATTCAGAATACAGGTGCCATTAATCAATGAAGGCAGAGTTTTTTTTCTAAAAGAAAACCATTTTATTCCACCTTCATACCCTAGCAACATTAGTCCTTTTGATTAAACCAAAATCGGAAGATTTCTTTTGGTCAGCCAACACCAGCTGCATCTGAAACATTACTGAGATAAAGCCACCTCCATTCCTTATAGAGATGCAACTCAACATTAATCTTGTTATACAACTCATTGCTATGCAAGGGGTCATCTAGAAGCTCCTTTGTTCTGTATTAATTTGAACTAATTTATCTTGATACTCATGAGAACAGACACTGCACCAAACATACAGCAATGGCATTGATCTCAGAAGTGGTGTATCAGCCCAGGACAACCACCCAGAAAGGTCATCCTGAAGTCAGTGTTGGCTAGTAAATGTTACACCTGTATTAGTAAACGGGAATCAGTTGTAATCACTTCCTTTGAATTTACACTGGACCACAAATTCTCATCTAGCCAAAGCCCTGAGTTTAATGAACAGTTGCAGGGATTTAACTCCTGTTCCTTACTGCCCTGTCACCAGGAGTCACGATCCCAAAGCATTTGAGGCAAAAGGGTGTGCTCTTTATCTGCCCCAGAGCAAAGTCCAGGAGCCACCTGAAGCCACTAGGGGTCAAACCCAGGCAAAAGTGACCCTCAGGTTGAGCAGAGGCATTTGACTAGCTACACACAGCTGCCAAGTTAATGGAACTGGGATGGCTTACTCTACTATTTTCCTAACTGGAGCTTTGGCAACAAGGAGTTTCAACCACTTCAAGCTCAAGAAGAAAGCAGCACTCTAGTGGATGTAAGGATGGGTATGCAAACAGGAAAGGGAGTACTGGGAAACTGGAGTTACCAGGTGTATTGACAGAACAGTGAGGACACATCTAGTCGTCAGTCTCCCAAGGTGCTTGGGTTTTTCATACTGAATGATCCTATTTAAGGCATGCAATCTAGACCACTATTCAAAAACAACCAAAAAACCCCCACACCACATTTCCCTACTCCAAAATATCTAGCACAAGTGATACAATCTGTGTTTTCATATATTATGTACACATTTAACATATCTATGTTCC